TTGTCCCGTGTCCAAATTCACAATCTAGCAACATTCTATATTTAGTAAGTTTTGAGTTAGTCCCAAAAACTAACTCTTGGTACTAAGAGAAGCTAAGGGTGAAAGCCCAAAGTGTGCATTCCTCGAGCGGGTGGGAAAGGGGTTGTGGGTGGTTCCAAATGTATAGTAGGGATAGTGGGTAAGTTGATTAACTTGAGGTATAGTTTAGCTTTCATTTACATGCTTATCTTTGTTTTACATTTGACTTGGGTTTAAGCCTTAATTCCATACTATGCTAGTTGGTGGAGTACTTATATCCTTGCATTAAGCCATCAATATGTTAAAGGGGTTGTAGGGGGTTCCAAATGTATAGTAGGAATAATGGGTAGGTCAGGTATGGCTAACCAACTTGAGGTATAGTCTAGCTTTTACTTATGCCTATCTTTGTTCTATATCCAACTTAGGTTTAAGCCTAAGTTCTAAATTATGTTAGTTAGTGGAATACTCATATCCTCATGTTAGGCTATTAGTATGAAATAGTGCTAAACTCTGTTTGGCTTTGTTTTCCATATTAATCTTAGCATTGGAATGATAAATGTTCTAGAATTGTTCCAAGTGGTTCCATGCTCTTATTCTTTCACTCCTTGGGTTTAACACTTAAGAGTTATTCCATGCTTTAGTTTTATTGTTCTTTAAGTCCATGTTTAGGAGTTTGGCTCCATTCATTCATTTAATGGCCCAAGGCCCTGAAACTCAGGTTCTGCTCCACTATCCTTTGGACACATGGCACTTAGAGGGTTTAGATTCTACTTCGTGGTTATCTTATGGTAAATCACCATAGGATAAAGGGTGAAAAACCATATTTGCTACAATTTATGAATCAATCACCATTTTTTATAGTCATTTAGGAATCACCTATTTAGGAATCCAATTATTTAAGAATCCAACTATTTAGGAATCAATCACTATTTAGAAACACAAGATGCTATGAAAAATTTCATATGACTATCAAGTAAATCCACTAATCCTGTGGCAATTGCTGACTTTTAGTATATTTACTTTGAACAGTATGCAAAGGAGAAGAGAACCAAGATGATATGTTTGAACTATACAATAGTTTAGCTAATAAAGGTTTGAATATTCACAAATACTTTCTTAGATATATACACAAAGACAATAATCACTGGGATTCTAACAACCTTGATAACCTACAAAAAAAAAATGACACCCTAACTATGAAAGGTAGCTTTTCCTCTTTTAAGTGGTAGTGAATATACCTAGAATATATTTAGATATTCTAGAATATTTTATTTTTTAATTCATTTAGATTAATCTTGTATTTATAATTATAAACTTTCTAAATAGGAACATGTTCATAATTATTGATTAATTATATTAACTAAATATAAATTGCAATATTGCAATATGAACACTCCTCAGCATCTAATAGACCAACACCAGGAACAACATTTTATCCAGATTAGAGGGATGTCTCACAAGCATCGCATCTAAGATGCTTGTCCAGTGCCACTACCTCCTCTTCATGTGGCTGAGCTGTTCTAGAGATGAACTTGAACACTAGAGCATAACCAATATCTCTTAAGATGGAATTCTTAACAACACCATCAAACCCATCCTTTGGTTTCAAGATCTTAATTGCGTTTGGGATGGGTAGCATGGTATGCCTCAATTCCACAAATAAACTACCCAATACTTAGAATTGTAAATTAACAATTATGCTTTTCGTTGAATGAATAGTGTGTCTTGTTTGTTTAATGATAAGAGACAAAGACTACCTTACAATTGTAGTATGTTTGAAGCAGCAAGTTCATGTAGCAGATTGCACCTTAATTCTTAGATAAAACCAGTCTCTTTTTTTGAATTGTAAACCCAAAAATCCATCTCCTTCCAAACATTTATGTCTGCCTCTACAGCCTCTATAAGTTTGTGAAGTGACATAAAAGCTCGAGTATTTATACATCTCAACATTAAATCCTGACTACTCTTTGGCAGTAGTAGCTTTGTGCATACAAAGCTTTTGCTCAAACTGGCAATCAGATAAATTGCAATCAGTCCATAGGGCAAAGTTGCAGAATATGGAACATCAAGGTAGATGGCTAGATGCTGACATTATTTCCTTCCTACAAGCCATAAAATACTCACCTATCACACAAAGGAAAAGAAAGGAATAAAGCTCATCACACATGTACTAGATGTTCCTATTAGAGCATTGCTCCCTTATAAAGTTTGAATGTGTTCTTTTGTTATAGGACAAAGTTTTCCTATAAAATCTGTGGAGTAAAAGAGGAAGAGTGAATACTTCCATGAAACATTTTCAGACATGAATATCAAAAACCAAAAAAGAACTCCACCACAACTTGACATACTTTGCCATCAAGGTCACAATCCTGGCTGTGCAATCTCAAAAGTTATATATTAATAAAAATATTTGAAAACAAAAGCAAACCAAGTGTTGCTCTCAACACTTTTTTTCATATTATACATATAATTCCAAAAGCTAGCATAGACATTCTGTCCCCATAGGAATTCACTAGTAGACAAGATTAGTTTTTCATTATAATTGTCATTCTCTATACACATTGTCCCTGGGCCACCAACCTAATTTTAGAGGTGGCCTTCCTCACTTTGAGGAGATATTCTGGCTGCCAATATCATGAAGTGTTATGTGCCAGCATTGGGAAAGAGCCGTGTCTATCATATCCCAAATGTTAGTAATTGTCTTTGAAAAACCAATCTCAAAACATGACGAGCATACAAGCACAAGGCAAACTTTGCAATGCCATCCGCTTGATGCAAAACAAGTGAAGACCCTAGTGCATGGGAGTCATCTTCACATGATATATATAATACATATTGAACTTTCTAAAATGCTTGAACCTGGTTTTAAGCTTTCAAATGTCCTGATGCCAATTGTTTGTTATTAAACTTTACTGTTTCTTCCAAACCACAAAGTTCCACAAAGTTGGAAAGCCACAAACAAAAGTGGAAAAGCCATAAATAGATATGGAAAAGCCACACCTGATACTGGATCCGGGTGGCACTTGGCAAGTTTGGATAATAGTGGAAATTCCTAAAAGACAAGCCAAAAATAAAGGAACTCCAGTCCAATGTGAAATAATGAAGATTCCTCTTTCAAATGCAAGATGCAGACAAAGCTAGCAAAAGACATGACTGTGGGATGGTTAGATAGTACACCTGGGTTTTTTCAAGAAAGTGAATGGCAGACTTTGCCTTGCCCTTGCTCCTGCTCTTGAGAACATCAGATGGACAAGGAGAAACCTTGGTGTTGGAATCCCAGAATGGTTTGCCATCACTGATGACTGTGATTAATTCATCTGCATCACCCCCATCCTGGACTTCTTTGTATTCGTGCAGTAGTTGCCTATATCTGATGCCCAGAATTGGAGTATTTCCGTTTTTTGCCCCATGCTAATTATTGCTTCTGTTCAGGTGGTTAAGACCCATGCGGAGATTGTGAACTACCCTGTCAGCTACCTCGCTCACCATTGCAGATCACTTGAACTCCTTGTCAATGCTTGGAACCCTTGAAAGCTTTTCAACTCGTCTTGTGGAGAGTACGGTGGTACTGGAGTGTTTGTCCGGCAAGCTATTTCCTCTTATCTCGATGCCGAGGATCCCAGGCTTGGCTGCAAGCTCAATCGCCCACCACTCGATCATCAGCTCCGCAACAATGATAACGAGCTCGTCGAGTTTCCCTGGATGATCACTGTGGGGTATGACTACTTTCCGGAGGTTTCAAGCAAGAACTCGTGCTTGCAAAACTCTAGCTGCATACTTTACCGAATTGACGAGTGCTCCCAGGTTTTAACGATGTGGAACTCTTCAACGCTGTCCAGTATGTTTGACTCCTTGTACTCCACCCCATTCTTAAAGATGAGCATGGCCGAGATCTCAAGGATACCTGAAGTTCCAAGCAACAAAAGAGAAGAGAGTGGAAGATCGTCGAGTAAGCGAAAAATTTTAAGAAAACCATGGCCAGCGGCTTATGTCGTTGCTGCCATTCTTCTAGTAGCTGCCGCTGTCATGGTGCTGGCGGTATGGAAGTTTTACAAGGCCAAACGTTTACGCGCCGGGCAATCTGAGACAATGGGGAATAGCTGTATCATCCAACCAGAGTTTGAGAACTCTCCACGGTACTTCAAGTTAAAGGAGCTGTGCGAGATCGCTAGCAACATCGAGAGAAAACTTGACGAGGATTTAGCACTGTTTTCGCGGGAGCTCTCCAAGGTGGTGGTCAAGAGATTGGAGGCTGCAAGGCAAGGGCTCAAGCAGTTCATGGCGGAAGAACCATTGGAAGCGTCCGTCACCAGAACCTGGTTAAGTTGCAAGGCTATGGAGCTCACGGCCAGCACTACTACCGAGTTTGTGGAATATCTGGCTCTTTACTAAGATCGATGAAGCAGCAGGCACTGAGATGGGAGAGGAGATGGAGGATCGCCGCGGATATTGCCCGAGGCCTGGATTATCTTCACGGAGGTTGCAAGGATCAGGTCCTCCACCTCGATATCAAGCCGCAAAATATCCTCCTGGATGCAAGCTTTGGAGCCAAGATTTGTGACTTTGGACTCGGTCGAGAGAGTTGATCACGAGAAGAACTCTGTCAGCACGGTCATGCGAGGGACTCCCGGATACATGGCTCCTGAGTGGCTCCACTCAGGGGTAGGCGGCTTTGGATCGTTTTGCTGGAGCTTGTGAGTGGAAGAAAGGTGGTGGCTCTCCCATCAAGCGCAGTGATCACCAGTCCAGGAGAAGATGGACTGATCATGAGTTCTTGCTGGGAACAAAAGCGTTTGAGCGGAGTGACCTGCTGCTCGATAACATTGATAGAGGAGGATCTGAGCGAGCAGCGAGCGAAAGAGATGGTGATTGCTGTGCGCTTGCCACGAGCAGCTCCAAAGGCCGTCCATTGGAGGCGCGCTAAAGATGTTAGAAGAGGTAGCAACGTGACAAAGTTTCTATGGTGCCACGCAATCACCGGGATTAGGGTTCTTCCCACAATGGGAGCGGGAGACGATGGCGCAGGCGGGGTCGTGGAGCTGGCCAAGACGATCATGCTGCCCTACTTGCAGCGCGCCGACGAGCTCCAGAAGCACGATCCGCTGGTGGCGTATTACTGTGAGTGTCGATTGAAATCTAGCAGGGATTTCTCGCTAAAAACGCTTGGCTAGGTCGGTTGTATGCTATGGAGAGAGGCCTCAAAGTTCCAGCGAAGGAGCGGTCTAAGACCATGAACGCGCTGCTTTTGTCGCTGATGAATCAGCTCGAGAAGGTAAGAACGAAGGAAGTTCCTTTAGTGCTGAGCTCTATTCCTTTGTTTAGGATAAGAAAACCGTGAAGCTCAGCCCGGACGACAACTTACATGTGGAAGGATTTGCCTTGGGTGTTTTCTCCAAGGCGGACAAGCAAGACCGGGCTGGACGAGCAGACTTGTATGTGTGATCTATTTTCTTTGTGCGGTCTCTCAGCTTTTTTTTCTTTCGATTGTCTAGAAACACTGCGAAAACTTTCTACGCATCCAGTATTTTCTTCGAGATCTTGACGCAGTTTGGAGATCTCCAACCCGAAGTAATTGCTTTTCCCTGCTTTTTGCTTCTCCAATGAGTATTGCATTAACGTTTTCCAGGGGCATTTGTAGATCGAGCAAAAGCAAAAGTACGCCGTTTGGAAGGCGGCTGATATCCGGAAGGCCTTGAGCGAGGGGCGAAAGCCCGAGCCTGGACCACCCGGTGGTGATGCCGGCTTCTCACTCGACGACGTTTTCTCCGAGGTGAGGCTTTTCTAGCTCGTGCTTTTTTATGTTCTTAAGAATCTGTGTTTCTCCGCTTTGGCAGCAAGAATTACTCACTGGAGAGACACCTCGGGCTCCTTCACCACCAGTCAATCCCAAAACCAGTATCGACCACGCTACAAGCACAGCAGCCTATTACTCCTCGTCAGCTCCAGCTCCAGCTCCATCTCAACTCGATCATACGCCGCCGCCACCACCACCACCACCACCACCACCGCCGCCGCCGCCGCCGCCGCCACCGGAGACTTCCTTCTACAGTAGCAACTCGGTGGAGCATTTCCAAAATGCACCCGAGCACTTTCCTCAGTCTGACCGCTGGGAAACTTCTCGGACAAACGACTATCCCATGGACAGTGGCTACCCCTCCGCGACGTATCCCTCATCCGGTTTCTACCCGAGTTCATCGGCACCGTTTTCTCAGCAACACCCAGGATCCGGAGACTACCACTCGCCTCCATCGTATCCGTGCTTCACTCAACCTGGTGGTGGGTCATTCCAAGCTCCGACGATCAATCCGGCTTCTTCTTATCAGCAGGCTCCAGCAGCGGCAGCAGCAGCGGCGTATCAGCAGCAGCCAGTGTACGAGCCGCCGCCACTGCCGAGGACCTCGAGTGCTCCACCATTGCCGGAGCTGGAGAAGAACTACAAGCCTCCACCGGAGAAGATAACCGAGGCACACAAGGCATCCAGGTTTGCAGTGAGCGCTCTAGCGTTTGACGACGTCCCCACCGCAATCAGCTATCTCAGGCGCTCGCTCGAGCTCCTGACCTCTCCCTCGGCTTCCTGATGGTAATGTTAAAAACCTTTCTTTCTTTCATTAGTTTTCTTCAAAATCTAAAGCTCGATCATCTTTCGAAGTTCTCTACGGTCAATTTTGGTCTTCGTCAACTTTCGTCTTACCTCTCAGTTTTAATTTTACTCAGGAAGTCATTCAATCCAAAAGGATCCGATGAATCCTTCTCAAATTCAACCGGCTTGTCTCGTGATAATCCTCCTAGCTCCTCGTTAATACCATCTTTTTTTGGCCTGTGCAAACCACCCAAGCTTGGATGGAAGAGCCCCTTGTCATACACATTGTACACACTGTCATCGCCGCCATAGCCAGAATCCATGCCTTGCTCCTGGTTAAACAATCGCTGATCATACACCAGCTCACCACCCTTCGTGACACTAGCCATGGATCCAAGGGCAACCTTCTCGGAGATATCCCTCTCGCAATCCCTCACAACTTTGCTTTTCGAAGATTTCCTCAAACAAGCTTCTCGCTCGCGTTCCCTCTTCCGCTCGCCGCGAATCACATCCCTCTCTTGCCTTTCCTCGTCTTCTCGCTCCTCTTGTTCTTCCCTCAATCCACTATGACTTCTTTCCGTTCTCGCTCTTTCAGCGAGCGATCGAAGCTCCTGCTCTCTTTTACTCTGTTCCTTGAGATGGATCTGTGACCGCAACAGTACGGCCTCCCCCGACTTATTCTCCGCACCGTGGAGAGCCTCAGAGAGGTGGGCAAACCTGTGATTGATTTGCACCTCCTGGAGCCCCCTCCCATCGGCGGCCAAGCGCTTGTCCAATCCAATTGTGTATCCTTTGGGATTCTTCCAGTTGGAGATGCAAGGGACGATCTTCCAGTCTTGTTGATCCTGGACAGTCACTGGACGAGCTGGTGAGTGCATGATGCGTACCAGAGGCGAGCCCGAGAGCCGGGGAAGTTTCTTGTACTTAAACTTGGGGGGCTCTAGCGGATCCACCGGCAGCTCCACCATCTTTATAGTTCTTTCTTTACCTCCAGAATTAAACCGCAAAGATGGGTTATACTTGATAAACGAAGCATTCCGAGAAGGAGGAGCCATCTTTGAGTAGACCTAAAATTCTATTAGAAAAGGAGTCCTATTATAGAGGACCACCTTTTTAGAATTTATTATTTTTAATTTTT